GATCTGGCTCTCTATGAAGCGCTGACAGGTAGGATAGCATCCTTAAGTAAGGGGCAGCCATGTTAGCAGTGTAACATGAAGAAGGCTCACACAGGGCCTAGCATAATGTACAAACACTCAAGGTGATGGTAATCATTTGATAGCTCCTGGGCCCCAGGGTACTTTCCCCAGTCACCCTGCCACAGCCAGGAGGCCACAGAGATACCCACCGGCTTTCCCCAGCTTCCTGCTTCTGTGGCTTCAGCTGGGACCGGCACCTTGGATACACCACAAGGTTGAATTCACCAAAGCCTGCATACCAAAGGGTATATAAATACACCTTTTGCCCTTGGACAGTCTGAGGCTCCTCAGAAGCTGACTCAGTTTCCCCAGGATGACCTTTCTCCTTTCTGTGATCTTCCCAGTGAGGGACACTTACCCATCCTTCATCCTCTGCTTTGGGGGCTCCCAGGACAATGTACCCCCGGAGCCCAGTAAGGATCCTCCCATCTCAGGACAGTAACCCTTATAATTCCCTCCCATGACCTTGCCCAGCACCCTTAGAGCTGTTCTGTGCTGCAGCTGGGATGTTCATGGAGCCCTGGGACTCAGTAGGTGAGGAGCATTTATCAGCACTGAGGTGGTATGTCCAGCTGCCTCTGGGCTAGCAAAAAACCACCAGGTCTCTAGATAGACAGGCAGGAAATTGTGGCTTGCAGGTGACCTACTTTCTCTTTTGCCTCTTATGACAACTGGTAAACATTGGGGGAACAGACAGGCACCAAGGTATGCACCCCTAGGTAGAGACATATCACCCACATACCCCAGGAAGTTTACTATAGTTAGGTGTGACTGATGTTCAAAACGTTATGAGTGTCCATGGAGAAAAGCATGAAAGCAGGTAGCCTAGAGCCAGTTGGGATGAGACCGCATGAGAGGCAAAGGGTTGTGGGATACCAAAAGGCTAGCGGGAGGCTTGGAGTGGGGAATACAGAGGCAGCCCCAGCCCAGGACAGAAGTGGACACTATAGTAGCTCTTAGTCTATCTGACAGTGCTCCCAGCATGTCTACATAGCCTCCAGGAATCTACAGCCCAAATAGGGACCCTGAACCCAGAGTAGCCATGGTGCCAGGCACAGCAACCTGGAATGGGTGGGTCTGTGTGGGTTTTGAGCCAGCCAGGAAAGGGTCCAACAGTACACCTAGGTGTAGCTATCACTCATGTTCCCTCTCAAGGAGCTTCCCACAGGCTCATGAGGCCTTGGCAGCCATCTCGAAGCCACCAGCACTTATGATTACAGTGGTCCAGAAACTAGTTCTAAATAGTCAAAGGATGCTCCTAATGGGGATTTAACTCCGAATGCAACTGGGTCCCGTCTCAGCCCCACAGCTCGTACATTGGCACTTGAAGGGACCACCTTCTGCTCACTCCCAAGGATGCTGGCCTGCTGTTAGAAGAGCCCTGAACCTAGTACTACATCATGGTCAGCCATGCACCCATCAGGCACAAGAGGCTGGCCACGCCCACAACTTCCTGAAGCTTGCCTACATCCTGTGCTACCTAGATTTTTGTTGAAGTCAACATTCTTTTAAAAGAATGAAACTATTTTAAACTTCATTATTGGAGCCAAAAACAAAATATCACAACATGGCTGCTAGTTAGACATACAGCTTGTGTGCTGAAACCTACTATGGAGACCACTTCTGAAGGCTCTCTGGAAGGTGGGGGAAGGGGCCATCGCACAGGAGGGAAGATTCTGGCTGCATTATAAATAAAACACCCAGCACCTGGGACTACATTGTTTCCCAGACCACTCAGAGCCCCTGAAGCACCATTATTGACCATCTTGCCTTGTGTTGGCTAGTTTTTGGCGAGAATCATTTTAGAAGAGGGAACGTCGATTTAGAAAATATCCTCACCAGATTGGCCTGTGGTACATTTTCTTGACGGATAATTGCTGTGGGAAAGGCCATGCCATAGGGGTGATATTACCGATGGGCCTGTAAGCAGCATTCCTCCATGGCCTCTGCATCAGATACTTCCCTGACTTCTTTAGATGATGGACTGACTACAACTGAAATCTGAAAGAAAGCCTTTCCTTCCCAGGTCACTTTTGGACACAGTTATTGTGTCACAGCAATAGAAGCCTAACTTGAGGCACACCTGCAGCTGAGACTGTATATACTTATGAGTTGGATGCAGCCCAGAGCCCCCAGGACTTGGGCATCATGCATCCAAAGTGGCCATGGTCAATCAAATGGCACCTCCAGCATCCTGAGACCCCAGCCCCTTGTTATCTCACCTCGCAGGGGTGAATATCCTTTCACCATCTGACCTGGCCTCGCTGGGGTCTGGTACTGGGTGTTTCAGGGAAATGGAAAAGCCATCCCCCTGGCTTCCTGGGTGAAGAAAGTAACCCTTGGGGTAACGCCAGGGCCACTGCATGACTGTCTCTCAGTTGTGAAGGAATACAAGTAGCACTTATTGGGTTCTGTTGGCCTCCAGGCTGGATCTCAGGCCATGCTTCCTCTCTGATGTTGTGCAGAGTTGCAGTGTGCTCACCTGGAGGCTGTGACTCCTGGGAGGATTCAGCTATGAGTCTCTTTGGACCATTTAGTTTCAGTAAAGGGCCCTTGAGCCTAGGTTTAGCCAGAGTCACAGCTTGACATGGGGTGTGCTACACCTTTGCTTTCCTGGGGCCAGGGAGGCAAAGGCTCCTGACCAGCCAGCCTCAACTCAACGCCCTCTGCTGCCCCTAGAATTGTGTCCCCATGATGTCCATATGGAACGCTCCCAGATGGTTCAGGGTATTATGTTGAAGGAGTAGCGCCATCCTTAAAACAGAGTGACTCTCAACCAGGGCCAAATTTCCATTCCCAGACTACCCAGGAAAACCTGGAGGAAAGGACAAGGGTGGCTGGGCATTCTTGGAGCCCAATCAAGTGGTCCAGCTGCAACGTTGACCTAAGAGCTGGATCTAAGAGCTAAAGGAAGCTACTTGTGCCAGCACAGCCTAGCTCATCCACCAGGGGACAAGAGGCCAAGACACAAGAGTCCAGCAAGGGAAAAACAGGTCTCACCAACCCAGCTTCAGGAACAAGAAACTGTGGGGCCTCCAGGCAAGTGTAGGAGGAACCTGTCTCCATGGAAGTGCTCCGTGCCAGATAATGAGGACAGATGTGACACCCCCAAAGACACATTAGACATCAGAGCCCATCTGGAGCATCAGGTCCATCTACAGCTCTGCCTTACAGATACAGTGAGGGCAGAGAGATGCCACAGAACTCATGAAAAGAAACCTAAAGTTCAGGATCCAAAATTCAAGGTCACAAGTTCATAGAAAACCTCAAGGTCACAACTCAGGAAGAAATATCAAGACTACACAGTACAGGGGGAAAGGTCACAGAAATGTCAAGGTCATGGGCCCCAGAAGGAATGTTCAAGGTCACAGGGCTGGAAGAAACCTCAAGCCACAAGAGAAAACTTCAAGGTCAGAGGAAGAACCCTGAAGGTCGGGTGTTCGAGGTCATAAAAGAATACTCAAGGTCACAGGTTCATAAGAGGAAGATTCAAAGTCACAGAAAGAAGTATAAGATCATGGGCACATAGGAAGAAATCTCAGCGTCGGGACACAAAAGCTCAAGGTAACAGGACAGACACCTCAAGGTCACTGGGAAAACATCAAGTTAACAGAGGAAAGCTTAACCCCTGGGTTCACAGGAAGAAAGCTAAGGTCACAGGAGGGCATCCCAAGGTCATAGGAAGAACCATCAAGGGCATGGGAACTATCATGGCAACCAGATGAAACAAGTTAACAGCTGGAAAACTGAAAGCCAAGGGACTATAGAAGAGCTGTGGTGCTCCGCCCACATGCAGGTGGGGGTTGGGGAGAGGCGAGCAACAGCAGAAAAGTGTGCCAACAGGGCTCAACATGAAGCAGTCTGTAGAGCAGGCAGCAGGCCATTCACCCACCAAGGCAGTGCAGCCCACTCTTGGGGGTGGGATCCAGGGCCACTGTCTATGGGCCTGAGTAAACGCCATTAACAGGCCCACAGGCCAGTCCTCAGGGCTCCCAGCCTGGGGAATTTCCCATGAGCACCAGTCTCTGGCTCCCCTAATTTAAGGGATGTGAAACACTGAACCAAGTGGCTTCCCACAGAGCAGCCTGGAGTACAGGAGGCCTGGGTGCTAGGCCATGGCTCTTAACCTCTGAGCCACGTTGTTCACCTGGATACAACTGTCCAACTAAAGCACAGTAAGGGTTTACTGCTAAACTTCTAGACGCTTCTCATGAGAATGCACGACAGCCCACAGGGACCTCTGATGGCCACTGAGCCACAGGCTGCCCATGTTGACCCCTCTACTGACCGATAACTCACTTTGGCACATGGCTGCCTGACACTGGCATCTGGCTCTGCAGAGGGTGTTGTCCTCAAGCTTGCAGGCAGGACAACCCCCTCTGGTCTGTTCCCATTTCAGTCAGGAGCCAGGGCAGGTTGCCTGTCACTCTGCCACCTCTCTAGCCCTCTTTCTCAGATCCCCAAGTCTTCACACACCCCCAAATCAACTACAAGACAGGTGAGAATGGGCATGGAGCGACTCCAGAAACCAACTAGAAAAACAGACCACAGAATGTCTCTGATGTGCATGAAGTCTGTTGATTTTTTTTTTTTCTCCATTTAGTTCAAAATAAAAAAAAAATATATAGCGGGCTTTCAGGTATATAAACTGATATTAAAAAATACAAAGTTCACCTTTACAAAAACAAAACAAAACAAGGAAACCACACACACACAATTCTGTTTAACAGTTAAGCCCAACAGCTTACCCCGAAATAATCTCAGCCCCATCTCTGCACTACCATGGAAACCATTTAGCAATGGGGGTAGCCACTTGGGGTTGGGGCATGGGAGGACGATCCATAACTGAATGACTCCTACATAGTCCTCTCATATGACTTAAGGTAGAGGTTAATTCTAAAGGGGCCGAGGAACATAGGAAGCCAGAGGCGCATCAGAAATGATGTATAGGTAGGTATACCATGTTTATTTTAATACACCTCATTAGTTTGGCTAGGAAAAAAATAACCGTCTCGCTGTCCCAACTTACAGCAGCCTCGTGCGTGTTATCGACGAAAAAGTCATCCAAGAGATTTAAAAAAAAAAAAAGAAAGAAAAGAGCTAGGCAGAGAATAAAAAGAAAAGGCTTAATCACTTTATGGTGTAAAAAAAAAAAAAACAAACAAACAATGAAAAGAAAGAAAAAGAAATTCCACGTAAGGCCGTCTGGAAGGTCCTAGGCAGACTCAAGCAAGGTGGTGGCTTCCAGGCCCATGGGCATCTCCCAGCTGTTCAGCTTCCTTGCCTAGAACCGCAGGCAGCACCCCAGGCAGGCTCCGGGTTTCCTCGTCGAAAAGCACCTGTGCCCACGGGCAGAATCCAGGGCAGTGGCCAACATCAGCCGCCACTCAAGGGTCAGTCCTGCAAGACGGCCCTTCTGCCGCCCACTTCAGTCTTTTTGTTTCTTGTGGTGGGTTTTTTGTTGTTGTTGGGGTTTTTTTTTTGTTTTGTTTTGTTTTGTTTTTTTAATTTTTTTTTTGATTTTTTTTGTTATTTTTTGTGGTTTTGTTTTCGCTCTCTGTGACAAGGAAGCTTTCTCACTGTCTCTCCGAGTGCTACAGTACTTGCTTTGATGTCACACTGAACAAACGGACACTGTCTCTTTGTCCTCAGACACAGTTTTTCACGGAGGAGAACAAAGACCGCACGCACATTGGCAATGAAGCACCATACATAGTATGTTCAGGAATGTCACACGCCACGTACATCCGTGTCCCGGGAGAGGGCGGCCGGCTCATCTCACCTCACATCTGCGGGAAGAGAGAATGAGTTGAGGTTATGACCAGATAGAAAACACCAGGGCCACTTGGCCCCACACAACTTATGTCTTAGGATATGAATTTTGATGTACAATTAAAAAAAAAATCAAATTTTCATAGTTAAGAATTGGGACTAGGCTGGTTGCATTTCACAGAAGAAGCCATGCTCCCATTGCACAGATGGAGAAACTGAGGCATAGAAAGTTTCTTTATCCCTTCCTTTCTTTCTTTCTTCCTTTCTTTCTTATTTTCTTTCTTTCTTTCTTCCAGCCTAATGTGCTCACTGGAGGTCTGACATTTTGGGCCATGAAGCAACTGGAAGAATAGATGCCACCATCCACACTGTGTGTAAATGTGTATGTCTGTCTGTCTGTCTGTCTTGTGGTGCTTGTCTTGCTATCACAAAGCTATAACCTCCAGTTCGACAATGAGCCACCAATGCCTCCACCCTCGGCCCGGAGACAGGTTGCCAGCAGGACACAGGCAGTCATGGGAACACCTGCCTCTCACTTGGAAAGGGTCTCTGTCAGCAGCAGGCCCATCAGAGCCACATGGAACAGCCCCAAGGACCTGCTTGAGGAGACACATGCCCAAAGCAGGCATCTCCAGCCACACTCCTGTGGGAGCCAGGGCTCTCAGACACCCTATCTCTGAGGACTCTCTTGCCCAGAATAACTGTTTGTCTTGGATGCCCCAAAGTACCATGTGCCAGGAGGAAGGGCTCAGCCAGACAGGCTCCAGACCTCTGGGCCAGACAAGCTGACACTCAGGACAGGCCTGGGAAATGACATGCCTCACCTACATTCCCTACACTTCCGGGGAAAAAAGCCGTCACAGGGTGGGTTTGAAACAAGCATTCCTGAGAGGCTCTATGGCCCTTCTTTACCCAACCTGACTCTTCCAGCTTGGAATATGACAGCACTAGCAACCACCGTGGGTCCCGAGAGTCATTTTGAAGACAGAATCTAAAGTACCAAATAGAAAGGACCACCGATGACACCTGTTGTAGCTTCCTCTCCTGGTCTTACCCAGACTGATGTCTACCTCCTTTTCCCAGGCTGCCACTGGTTTCAAAAGTCAACTGTCCACTTAAAGCTCTTCAGATCCACTCAGCCTCCACAAGCCTCACCCGTCACCTGTAACAGCCTCGGTACTTTCACCTGTCGGTACAGTGGGCAGCCTCTTCCCAGGGAACTCCAGCAGACCACCGGGGACCCCCACCCTTCCCGCCACGGGGCACTCGAGTGCCTGATCAATGACCAAGAGAAGGGCAAAGCTGTAGCTGCAAGGAGCCCCAGAAGCACATAGAGCCTTGAGCCAATCAGGGCCCACAGAAGCTGATTCGCCGATGTGATTGTGTCCCAGCCCTGCGAGGGAGTCCCCCAGCACACCCAGCGGGCAGGGCCTACCTGGTTGGCCGCCTTAGGTGGGTTTTAACCTTTTTCTTTTCCGCTTTTTACCTGATTCCCTACGCCTTCCTGTCAAGGAAAGGGCAGGGAAGGTGAGTGGCCTCCTGAGGGCCTGGGGTGGGAAGCCACGGCAATAAATACTAGAGTTGTTTATCTTTCAAAAGGAAAGCCCGATCCACCCTGGTGCATACACTTCCGGGTCTTTCTCTGCACCTGGACTGCCTGAACGCTGGCAATGTACAGGTTATGCTTGGCAGGATGAAGTTAAAGACCCTGGGCAGCAGGGCACAGTCTGAGTCCAGTGTCTACTGTCCCACCTAGACGTGGCACTCCGCAGACACAGCTTACCTGACTCTAGCTCTGCAAGCCAGTGTGGACAGCTGGGAAATCTGGGCCTGCTGCCTCACTCAGAGGAAGCAACTTTCCCATCACTCTGTGATTGACTTGGCTAGAGCCCATATCCCTCAGGACCCACACACAACAAACGAGCAGTGCTGGCCACTCACCCGTCTCCTCCTCCCGATGGTCTGGGTTCAGGTTGGAGGTCGCACATGCACACTCCAGGTGTTCCTCTAACCTCACCTGGACCTCTTTCAATTTTGGTTTCTTCCTGACATACTCCACTTTGGCCACCTGCCAAGGGAACAAAGCCAGTGTCAATACCATGTGCCAGAGGGGGACCTGCCAGGCTCATCCCAAACCTGGACTCGGGTTTCTAACCTCCCCCAAGGCATCTTCCCTTTAATTCAGGCTTGTTTCCATTCGAAATAAACCCCAATGATGCTAGGCCTACAGCTGCCATCCCAGCACTCGGGAGCTCAGAAGTTCAAGGCCAGCCTGGGCTACACAGCAGGGGATGTGGCTCAGTTAGCAGAGTGCTTGCCTAGCATCCACAGAGCCCTGAGTTCCACCCCCCAGCACCACATAAAATGAATGAATATGGTAGCACAAGCCTATATAGTCCTAGTTCCCAGGACATGGAGGTAGGAGAATCAGGAACTTAAGGTCTTCTTCAGCAGCAGAGTGCTGAGGCCAGCTTGGATTACAAAGAGACTCCTAAATGCCCAAAAGATCTGAAGGGCATCATTGAAGAAAGGGTGAACTGGGCAGAGCATGGTACTGCTCTGGTGTTTGTGTTGTTAATGAAGAAAACAGAGTCTCAGATAGGGACAGCCTCGTGGCTACAAAACTTGCTAAAGGAGGGACCTCCCTTTGAGAGTCATTTCCCACTCAACCCAGGGTCCCTGGAGACACACCAACACAGCAGGCACCAAAAGTTCATATTAGACTCTAGAATCCCAAGCCAATCCTTCCATGGTCCTGGCCATACACGGACCACTACAGCTTGTTCTCAGGGTAGCACCTGTCATGAGTGTTTTACCCACCCACAGGTACAGATGTGAGTGGCGTACACAGCTCCCGATCCAGGAATGCAACTCCATACTCCCTCACCATGCTCACAGAGTTACTTAACAACCCCCACCCCAACACCCCATCAAGAGGCAGCCTTGGGACATATACGCTGCTCTATTCCAGCATGAGGCTGCGTGAGGGAATGCTCCAGGCCACCTCCCTCAGAGTCCAGACACCAGCACTCATTTAACCCGCCTGGCCAGTCAGTGAGGAGGCAGGATTGTCACCTCCGTGGATAGAAATGAAAACTCAGGCACAGTAAGCCCTCTCCTGAGGTGACCCGGGGAGCATGATTGGCAGCCTGCCCCAAACTTGATGCCACCTGGGACATGTGCCACCCTCCCAACCCTGCATGCCACAGTGACAAATCTGTGTTCGCCTCCCAGGACAGCCCTTGGGGAGCTCTGTCTCACCATACACTGGGGAAACTGAGGTTATAACTGTACTGAACCCACCCTGGGTGGCCTATAGGTCTTAGAGGTGGCAGTTTCTTGGGTGTTCAATGGTTTAGACAATGAATGCCTGGAGAGAATTTGGGTAGGGGAACAGTTTCCACTGCTCTCTGAAGGGTACTGAAGATCAGGAGCCGAGAGAACCCAAGCAGGGGTCAGCCCTGCATCCAGGCCAAGGAACTGCTCAGAGCTCTGGGGACCAGACTCATCCAGACTCTGCTTTGGCTACCACCTTGGCTACATTAATGGTTAACATGGGTGCAAAGGGTGCCAGGTGCCCAGCGGGCGTGTGAAGTAGTGTGGGTGCCTCAGGTGTGAATACAGTTTGCCAAGTATGAGCTCATCATGTAGGGCGTGGGGCCAGGGGTCAGGGGTCAAGGGCCAGCCCAGGAGGTTTCGCTACGTCAAGAGGAGGAAGGGACAGCAACTAGGGACAGTGAAGGCAGGGGCATCTGAAGTATAGTCGGCTTCGCTGTTCAGATACCTACAATCTGACCAGTGAAATGGGGCATCCACACAGGTAGCTCTCCAAAGAACAAGGGTACCTCTGTAGAGGCACTCGAAAGTCAAGTGGGTATGGTGGGGCAGACCAGGAATCCCAGCCCTCCGTAGGCTGAGGCAGGAGGACTGCTGCAAGTTCAAGTCCAGCCTGAGCTACACACTGAGTTCCAGGCAAACCTGGCTACAGAGCAAGACAATGTATCCCAAGAAACAGAAACTAAAAAAAATAATAACAAACAACAAGCAAAGACACAACGTTACAGAATCACCTAGACATGGGACAGGGCCACCTTATAGGTGTTAGCTTCAACAAAAATCAATATTCATACAAAGCTTCTTACTAAAATGAGCCCCCAGGTTCTGTTCAGGAAGTCAGCATGTCCCAGAGGCATTGCAACACACAGACCCTATGCTCAGAAATGTGGTCTCACACTTCACCCCAGGGAACCAAAGGGCAACAATTGTCCCTCCCCTGAAGAGCCCTGGGGTGGTTGGGGGAGGAGCTAGTTCTCCCAAAGGAAAAACATCAGCCAGTTCCCAGAGGAGCTGTAGGCGATAGTGCTGTAATGTACCACAGTTCCCCGGCCTCCAAAGATGTCCACAGTCCCTAGTGGTCCAGCAAACTTCAAGACTCCCAGCTAAACCCAGGCCTGAGAGAGACCATGGCCAGAGACACCAGCAGGTGGCTGCTCTGCCCTTCCCAACTCCGCCTCTGTGATGGAGACCAGGTAGGTCTGAACTCCAGGTGTCACAAGGGCTTTTGGCCTGGTCTTAGCTATAGCCCTCCAGCCTGACCAGGCCCTTAGCTTTTCCCAATGAGGCTGACTATTGGACAGACCCAGACCTTGACCCTTCTGCATCTAGTGGTCCCCTGCATGAGGGGCAACTGATGAGCCATTCCAGCTGGGGAGCCCCCTTTCTCCCAGACAGGCTCATGTTTACCAGACAAAAACAAACAGTGGTTTATGGGAGCACCTGCCCTGGGAATGCAAAGATTCCAGCTGCTCTGTCACCTCTGTCTGGCCAGGAAACGGCTACAGCCCCCCCCCCCCCGAAGAACATGTTACGAATACTAAATTTTCAAAACTGCCTACTTGAAAGTATAAAAGGAGATGGTAAAGTTTCAGGAGCCCCACAAGCGATCCTCAGCTCCCTCAAGTTCAACACAGAGTGTCACCTGGTCAGGCTACTCTCCGATCATTGTCCCCCAGGAGGGCTTGTCCTGACTGCTCCCAAGCCTCAGGACAGTGTCATCTATGATAAAGGCCACTGTTGATTTTGAGCTGAACCTAGAGCACAGTCCCTCCTACAGGTCAGCTACATGGACCCTATGACAGCCTGTTTCAATAGAGGAGAAACTGAGTACAGCCCAGTGGACAACTTGCCCAGGTCCCTCAGCACTCAGTTCTGTTGTCCAATAGCCCGGATTTAAAAGGAGTGATGCCCTGAGGTCACATAGCCCCAGAGACCAGTGGTCTTCCCAGGCTAATCCTCTAACTTGATCAAGAGGGTGTTATGCTCTAGCTCCCCAACTGTCCCGTGAACATCCACTGAGGAGGGAAGCTGGTGCCAGGCCTCAAAGGTAGGGGGATGGATCCCTGTCCCACCTGGCTGAAGGACAGGAAGGGACTCAGAGCTTGATGGACATCAAGCACACCCGGGGTGTCTTCTGCCACGCTGCCCCAGGTTCCTCAGACCTCAAGTTCCTCACCAGAGGAAGGGTCATGAAACTCACGCCTTCAGAACTAAAGCCAGCCTGGCCATCATCTCTGAAATCTTTGCATGAGCCACCTGACGGAGCTGAGCTGGGACTCTCCCTAGAACACAACTCCAAACCCTACCCAAGTTGGGGACATAGAAACCCAGAGTCTGACCCAGCAGAGTCCTGACACAAGCCTGGTGAAGTAACCTCCCTACGCAGCTCAGCAGCCAGGTCAAACAATGGTTCAGAGCCGACCAGGCTCTTTGGCAGTTACAACCCCTAACCTCTTGGAAACCCCACTCCTTGACTCCTTGGCAGCCCCATATAATGTAGACAGGAGAGGCCTCACTTCTGTCCAGGCCAAACACTTTAGGTAGCTCCATGAGCCTGGCCTATGCTCACTGTACAGGCCCATAGAGCATCCTTCTCCAGCTTCCACAGCAAGGTCTGGAGAACACAGCTAGCACCTGGGATCAGGCATAACAGGTAGGGCCCAGGAGGCCAAATAGGTGAGGTCCCAGGTTTCTCAGACACCATCCCAACCAGCACTTGGGAGGCTACAGTAGGAGTTCAAGGCCTGCCTAGGCTACAGAGTAAGTTCAAAGCCAACCTGAGTAATTTAACTTAGACCCCATCTTACAACAAAAACTACATACCAAGAGTTGGGGGCTTGGCTTAGTGGTTGAGCACCTGCCTAGAATCCCCTAGTGAGGGGCTGGGATGTGACTCAGCGGTAAACATTTGCCTATAATGAGAAGTCCTGGGTTTAACACATAGCACCACAAGGAACAGGCCAACACACACATACACAGAGGAACCAGGGTTGATGGCACAGATCATACAGGGTAGATATGGCTACCTTGAGCCTCATCATCTGCCCCACCCCTGCTGACCCTAAGTCTGGGACTTTTGGGCCCATCTGCCTCCATCCAGGTTAGCACCAATCTCTACTCCAAATGCTGCAGAGTTGGCAGCCATAATGGACCTTCTTTCCCTTCTGCCAGAGCCTGCAGTATCTTGGGCCAGATGTCCCCTCCCAGCCCTGGATGGGTGGCAGTGGTGATGCATGTGGGCAGGTGCTTAGGAGGGAGTATGGGAGAGCCTAGCCCAAACAGGACTAGACTGGCCCTTACTGGGCAAATGAGACCCAGGGGGTGGAGGTATAATCCCGTACAGCACTGAGCAGGAGTCACTAATCCCAATGGGCAGCAGTGTCAATGGGAATAGACAGTGCCCCACATACCTCGTCATTCTACCCACCCTTCAAGCATGTCTCCAGCATAGAAAAACTATTCCTAAACTCACAATGTCATAGTTCACTCTTGTAATCCTGCCAGTCAGGAGGCTGCAGAGGCTTAACACCAGTCTGGGCTACATAGTTCTAAGCCAGCCTAGACTACACAAGTCCATCATGACAGGCAGGTAGGCAGGCAAGAAATGAAGCCTGATAAATTGACAAACAGACAGACCGACCCTGGGTCAAACCTGTTACCTGTCCCCAAAAGAACAAGATGGCAGCTTTCCAGACTCCTCAATACACCATCAGTGGGAATCCTGAGGCCTAAGGAAAGGCTGAGGCTGGTCTAAGTCACATGGGCTAACAGGGTGCTCGAGCCAGCCTGAGGGTCGAGCTACCTGAGGGTCGAGCAGGTAGCAAGACCCTGCTGGTAGGCAGCATCCTGTCTAACCTCTGAGGGTTGCTAGCAAACCCAGAGAGCACCCCCAGACAAGTCCATGGGACCCAGGGAAAAGTTCAGGGCTTTTGATGGGTATCCAGCCCTGAAGATGCCTGCAATGATTACTCCTAGAACACTCGGGAGACTAAAGAGCAGCCAACAAAACCAGTCTCAACTACAGGTGTGGGTTGCAAATGAGCTACTGAATACAGGTCCTTACCAAGAAAGATGTTCTCCTGGCACCTCCCTACTGTTGGGGCCAAGGGTCACAGCAGGGTTGGAGGCTGAGATGGATTTACTAGGGTGGAAGAATGGGATCTGAAATCCTCATGCATAATTCTGGGGACCCTTCACCCAAGAAAAGTAGCCTGGCTACAGAAGCCTGACTGTGTCAGAAGTAGATGCTATCCTCAGAGGCATCCTAGCCCTTCAGCTATCTAGAGTCCCTTGTGCCCACTCAGCCACCCAAATGGTCACACATTTAACAAAAAGGCCTCAATCGGGTGGAGTCAGCTTTCAGACTATTGAGCAGCTTAAAAAGATGATTCTCAGCCTGTGGGTCATGACCCCTTCAGAGTCCCAGATCAGACAGTTACATTGTAATTCCTAACAGGAGCAACAAAATAGCAACAAAGTAATTTTATGGTGGTGTGGGGGGGTCACAACATGAAGCTGAGAACTACTGTCCTAGAGTGTCTGACTGATGGAACAAAAGGGATCCAGCCTCTGCAACATAAGACAACCAGCCTTCAACTATGTTCTTAGACTCATGTCCAAAGAGGGACCAAACCCCTGATGACTAGAAACCCTCCCTCATCCAGCAAGGAGGTCAACAACTGAGCCCCAGGAGGACCGAGGGACATGTGGGTTGAGAGAGGACTAGACCCAAGTTTCACCGTCATCTATAAAGATAATGACCACGCATGCAAACCATGGGCCCCCAGATACCTCTCGCGGTGATATGTGGCTATTTCCTCTGAATTAAAACATTCCCTTCTTAGAGGAAGGTAGTAAGATCCAGGAGGCTAATGAAACAAGCTCAGAAAGTTACAAGAGTCACAAGAACCCCTCCACATACACACACATGAGCAGTAACAATTGCTGAGGAGAGGAGACTCTATGGGAAAAAGCTCTAGAGATGCGGACATCTCCCGTTATCATCAATGCCAGGGCGGGCTTTCCTGTGCTACGGTCACTCACACTTCTGTAAGGACTCAAAATAGCCTCCGTGGCTCAGCAAGCTGGACTTGGGTGAACTTCCTTTAGTCAGCCACTAGTGCTCAACCCAAATGCTACCCTATCTAGGATAAAGAGACATTCATTCACAACTCCTCAATGACAGAAGCACACTGTGACCATGGAATGTCCTAGTCACTCCTGAAGCTCACTGAAGCCAGCCCCCTGGCTTGTACAGAGCTGTGTGCTAACAACCTTAAGGCATATGCTCCGCCCCCTTCAAACCATCACACCAGCCCAAGAGCATCTTGCAAGGCTGATGACCAGAAAGAGCCGGGCTCACCTTGACACTGCGGTGGTGAACCCTTGAGGGCTGGCACTTGACGCTGCTGGTATTACAGCAGCCGGTGCAGCGCTTCACCTCCACACACGGGGGCCAAATCAGGAAGTTGGCCGATGTGGGGTCCACCTGGCTCCGAGGTATCTCGTAAATGACCGTCCTGGTCTTGCAAACTGCAGGAATGGCTTCCTCTACAAAAGCAAGAGGACTGTGAATGAAGAGACCTAGATATCTACCAGTAGCACATGAACATGACTTCGGTTCTCTCCACCCAACTCAGAGATGCCCACCCTGGCTAGCCCTGTGGCATCCCTGTGGCAGATTCCAGTATGAAAGAAAATGCTGGTTGCCATCAGGCTCCTGAATGTACAGGGCTGAAACTCATATCAAAGCTACAGACATAGTTCAAGGCCAACCTGGACAACTTAGGGAGGTCTTGTCTCAAAAGTGAAGAGGGCTAGGAAAATGGTTCAGTGGCATAATATTTGCCTAGAACCATTCCCCCACCCCACCACCACCACAAGAGGCTAGGGTGTGGCTCAATGGTAAAGCACCTGCCTAGATTCCCCCAGTGAGGAGCTGGGGTGTGGCTCAGTGGTAGAGTACATGCCTAGAATCCCCCAGTGAGGGGCTGGGGTATGGCTCAGTGGTAGAGCAACTGCCTAGAATCCCCCAGTGAGGGGCTGGGTGAGGTATGGCTCAGTGGTAGAGCACTTACCTAACATTCACAAGGCATTGGTTCTTTTCCTAGTACCCCTCTACTTTCTTTTGCAGATCAAGAAGTGAGACAGCAGAGGAGCAGCTCAACCCCAGTTTCCACATAGCCCGGAGCTGGGGACATGGTCACGAAAGCCAGCAAAACTACACTTATTTGTCTCCCAAGGAGGAGTCAGCTATTTCCTGCCCTGCTCTAATCACATAGGTGAACACAGCCAGTCTGGGGCCATCTGCTTACCAGGTGTGCATAGCAGACAAGAAATCCCTCAGGACCCTGGGACACACACCCTTCTCTTCCTTAAGCAATCCTCATTAACCCATTGAACTCTAGCCCCCATTAGTCACGACATAATGGCTGCCTAGTAGTGTCCAGCTTTGGGACTAACCAATGTGAGGAGAGGCGACTAAGGTGCCAGGAAGCCTCTGGGGCCTACCTACTGACTCTGCCTTCTGCCCTATCAACACAAGGGTTCCTGAACCCTAGATTCAGAGCTGGAGGGAGTAGGGGGCCAGGGTCTTCAGGGTAGAAGAGATTCAGGCCAGCTAACCAACAGGAATAAACCATACCTATGAGACACAGGGTTATGCACACCCACAGCAGCCAACACACCCCAGAGGAGCTACACAGGTAGGTGTCTACAGACTCCTTGGGGGGGGGGGGGTTGAGAAAGGAAGGCATGGATAAACAGAGATGGGGACCAGATTCCTCCCTGACCTCAGGAGTCTGCATTGTCCTTCTGGATTATGAGTCTCTCCAGCACAGAGAGTGTTTAGGAACACTGGGCCGGGCACACTGGGCAACTGGGCTTGGCCCCTTTACATCTCTCACCACAGCCCTTGTAGTCTTCTAAGTGAGTCCCATGCAGAGGCTTAGCCCCCTATGTAGGTTGCAGACAGTGCCCCCCAGCTCAGCTGGGAATGGGGATTCTATTCTCACCTCTGATAGCCAATAAGGCACTGGTAAAATCTACCTTCCTGCTGATATATAGATTACTAAAACTCAGAGAGAGGGATCCACTTGCCCAGAGTCACATAGCAGCCAACAGGCAAACAGTATGTAGACGCACACTTAGCTGAGCCAGGACTGGGTGGGTCATACCTGCCACCCCACCCCAGGAGGAGAATGCATAGGTCTTGAGAGAATCTAGTTTTTCCCAGAACAAGGGCCATGTGGAACCCTAGAGAGAACGGTGAATGAGGAAGGGATACTGGAAGGAATGTCCGACACACTCCAGGCTGCACCCAGCTCTGTAGCTGAAGCCCAGGGACATGCTAGAGCTCCATCAGGAACTGGAAATTAAGCTTGGCCACGTTTTCCAACGAAGCCTCCTTGCAGACAGGCCCTGACAAGACTGGGCACTTAAGGAATTTATAATGTTCCCCTCCTGGAAACTCTTGGCCCAGGCACAAGACTGCAGAAGGGCAGGCAGGAGACACTCTACAGAGGAGAAAGAGGGCGGCCTTCTCCACAGGGAAGGCAAGAGGCCAGCAAAGCCTTTGTTTGGTGGAGGGGGGGGGGGCTAGGTGGCTGTGCCTTCAGCCTCTGAATTAGAGGGGAGCATTCACTGTTCCAGCCTAGACCTGCACCCTTCCAGCTGCTGGACACCCCTCCCATGCTCACCAATACTTCTCTTCCTGCGAATAGGCACAGGCCGCTTCTCGGGCACATGCTTAATGGCGTGGGACCCATGGGCTCTCAGGCTTGTCTCCAAGGCATCCTCAGCCCCTACAAGTGGAGAAAAGAATATGGTAACCAGTGCGGACATCTATGTGTCATACCCTTGGGACCTGAACAGCTAAGGGTTACATAGCAGCCTGCAGAGCAAGATGCAGTAGCTCAGCCCCCGACCCCAGACCCTCATATCCCACGTGGGGTTTTCAATGTGTATCACCAACCAACTCCCTGTCTTGTCAGTATGCATGTCCCCAAAACACAACTCTCACTGAAAATCTGAGGTCTGTCCAGGAAGGCATTCAGGTAGTCTTCCTTACCATGTGACCTCTGAAGGGAACCCTTGGAGGGCAGCATAGGGTCAGGCAGGTCCCAAGGCCACCCAGCTGGGCCCAGTTCTGGAGCACTATCCCTATCAGCTGAAGCAAAGATGGGAAGGGCGGCGGCCTCTCTCCTGCTGCTGTGTGCACAGGGCCTCCCTCTTGTAAAGCAGGCTTTGATGAAGTGTCCTAACCTCAGAGGGGCATCGGAAGCAAACGCCAGACTGGGCTGCAAGCCAACCTCCACTGTTCCTGAAATAAGCCTGCTCTGAGGGCCAGAGGCCATGAGAAACAGCAAAGGGGTGCGGCTGCTAGTAGAGTAAGAAGTGAGGCGTGCAGTCACAGGCCTGGGGCGAGAGTCCTGGGGGCCCAGCGAATGAGGCCTACAGAAGGGAGTGAGGGAAAAGCCAGTGCTTGAAGGAGTGTTCACACACTGAGGGCTACCAGGTGTCCAGCAAAGATAGGGCTACCCGGTCTCACAGAATGGAGGACAGTTAAGATCAGCCTGGAGAACCAACCCCTGGAACACATTGCCCCCCAAATCTTTGATTCCTGGAGACAGAGCTCCACCACATGCTGTATAGACAGATTAGCCCCCAATATAAACTATACCTAGCTTTCCCAGACTATGCCATGCAAAGTTCCCTCCCCCTCCCACTTCTTCCCGGGGACACTCGAATCTCTCCTGGGCCCCAACATTTAGTGACATTCTGCCCAAATGGAGGGCTCTCCTAGCAGGCGATACAAACCCCACCAGATACCACACCATCCACAAACCAACAGGAGACATGCCAGCCTCCTCCACCCCGAGATGTCTGCTACCCACACATTTAAGATAAAAAGCAAAGACTTGCCTAAGGTGTGAATGTCAACGATGAATCTGAGCCCAAAAACTATTTAAAATGACTCAATGTTCCAATGGCACGGATTTTTTTTTTTTAACCCAAAATAAGATCAGAACTGCTCATGCAGTAAAAATTTCCCGTCAACCAACTGTTACAGAGAAGCATCTCTTCACCAAAAAAAGTGACATGATGAGTCATGACCTAGTGATGACCATCCTGCCATGGCCAAGCTAACAAGAGATGAATGAGCCATCCACTCAGGGCCTGGGAAAGGAGGCAGTGATGCCAACTGAGGTCCTTGGGTGCCTTGTGCTGGCCTCAACATGCACATAGTAGGTATCACTGACTTTGCATAGGCCAGAGCAGTAGAATCCAGATATATTGAACAAGACAAGGACAAGTCAGACATGCTTGTGGTGAATGAACCCCCTCACTCAGGAGGTAAGAGAAGCAGGATCAAGAATTCAAAATCAGCCCCAAAGTAAATCCAAAGACAGCCTGGGATACACAAGAGCCAGTCTCAGAAAAATAAACATCATAAAAATTTTAAAACCCCCAAGTGAACACCACAAGAACAAGAATGCTGGGACCCTCTAGGCCCAGTGCACAGTAGGCTCAGCTCCCTGACACAGAGACTGGCCACAGCTCCTACTCAAGGCAAGTCCAGATCAAGATAGCTGGTCATGAGCCAGATGTGGTGGCATTAACAGAAGGATCTGAAGTTCAAGGCCACCCTTCTCAGAAAACAAAAACAAACAAACAAAACAGCTGGGGATGCAGTTCAGCCGGAAGAGGGTCCAGAACACATGAGTCCCTGGTTTCATCCCCAGCACTACATTAAATAGTAGAGGCAGGAGAACTTCCTTGGCAGCATAAGAGTGCAAAGGCAGCCTGAGCTACATGAGACCATAGCTTAAAAAAAAAAAAAAAAAAAAGAGGTCACAAGCTTAAACAAACAACAAAAAACAACAGGTAGTCACAAGCTAATGGTTGATCCACTACTGTACTACTGTGGCATCTTTGATGTGTGGCAAGTAAGCTCTTTGGGAGCATGTGGATGTTATCCTGTGTGACACAGCAGAGCCTATCATAAATCAGTGGCTAAGCCCCTATCAGGTTAACCAAGTCATCTCCCTTTATCCTATACAGATGTCTCAGTGACAAATATCTGACGACTGCTGGAGGAAAGGACAGGCAGAGTCCACTAGCCCTGTCCTGGCTACAGTCCTATGAGTAGCCTGGGATGGGATGTTTATATATCAGTTACTCAATGACCCATGGGCGCCTGGCCCAAAACTCTAGAGCACAAAGCTCCCATTACACACACACACACACACACACACACTCACTCACACACACACACACAGAGAGAGAGAGAGAGAGAGAGAGAGAGAGAGAGAGAGAGAGAGAGAGAGAGTCAACCTGAACTCCTGAGCTGTAGTTCACAGTAAGGCTGGATGCCAGTCTCTGGACCCAAAAGCCACTTAGAGCTCCTTGACTCCACCACGGAATGCTCTGGGCTCAGGGGCATTCTTGGCAATGTATTGGAATCCTGCCACCTCTGGAGCTGGGCCACACAGCTAAGGAGCTGCAAGGTTGGGAGGAGATGCCTTCAGGGTTTCCCCATCTGGAAAATGGAGATGCTGCCAGCCTAGACGAGCCATGTGCCAATCACAAAGCTCCACCCACATGGATGTGGATGAGGAGTTGGCTGGGGAGCCTGGGACACCCCTAAGCTGTTCTCTGCTGCCTACAACCTAGATAGAGGGACATCAAGAACCTGCAGAGACCACCTTGGGAAGATCCCAGTGATGACCCCTTCCAGCTGACTCTAAAACTGACCGACCACCACAGCTGTCTACAGCCTTCTGTAGCAGCCTGAGCTAGAGCCCCTCACTTCAAAAAGGAACTAAATGGGAATGAGGGGAGCCAACCAGCCACTCACACCCACAAGCCAAAGACTAGATTCCAGTTAGTTTCCACACCAGAGCAGGGGGATAGATAGCCCAGCAGGGAGACCCCATTTTGGGTTGGTGTCACAAAGGGCCCTCCTTCCGTTAGCAAGCTAGGAGAAATGCAGAAGTACACACACACACACACACACACACACACACACACACACACACACACACACTGTTCTCAAAGTTTCCCATGGAGACCCAAGTGTCTCACAGGTGGACTGAGGGTGGATGTCCTAAATGCCCTGGAAGACAGACAGACAGACAGACAGACAGACAGACAGACAGACACACACACACACACACACACACACACACACACACACACACACACACCATTCTTACAGAAGCAATTTGAAACCTCCAGGGGCCAGACTGGTTTTTCTTTTTGGACCCTCCTGAGGAGGAGGCCCCAACCCAGAAGCCTCCAGCTCCCCCATTGGGCACAGCAGCTTAACCTAACAGAACTGCAGTGCTAAAAGCATTAATGGTGGGGGGTGGGGGAGGCGTGGCTGCAAAGAACAGCATAAGAATGGACCCAGCAGAAAAGTGAATGGCCCATTTCCCCCAGTATCCACACAGCAGGAGGCCCAGCCCTGGCTTAAGCAGGGCAGGAGAGAAGTCCACCCTCTCCAAAGCCTTTGGGGACCACCAAAAACTCCGGGAGTATTTCCCCGGTGACCCAAGCCAAGTCCTCCACATCAAGGGATCCGATCAAAACCCCCTGTCCCACTCTTGATCTCCAAGTGAAACCCTAGGCCTGCCACTCCTGATAAGGATCAGGCCAAGGATTTCCTGGGTCAAGAAACTACTGAAACGGGGCCACCTTGTTAAAAAATGATTTTGGCATGCAACAAAAACAGTTCAGGCCTCTCCATCACCATAATTAGGTACAAATTTCCAAATGGTTAGATCATGTGATTTTACTTAATTCTCCCACCACTCCCCCTTTTCTGAAAAGTTTGCAAGGAGGGGGAAATGGTCACTTAGAATTCTTCACTTTTTCAGCCTTTAGTTCCTCCTGACAAACTCATCGGGGTCTTTTTTTTTTTTTTTTTTTTTTTTTTTTTTCTGGAAGCTGGTAAATTTTATTCCAGTGCGTCAAAAAGAATACCCAGGCCAAGTGTTCATTTTGAAAAGGTTGCCACAAAAGACAGAGGAGACCTTGTCGTCCAACACACAGTGTGCTTCTCCCATCCCCATCCAAGACCCTTTATTTTAGCCCTAGTCGATCCGAGTCTAATCCTACCTTACATTTACAAATTGTTTTCAACAGTGGCTTGGCTCTAGCCCGAGGCGAGGAGCCCCCAAAATAGCCTCAAGCGCGTGTGTCCCAGGAGCGCCTTTTAAACAGGACACGCCGTTGGGAAAAACATCGGCCTCCTGTGGCCACCACAGGGACCCAGCCTGGGACAATCAAGGCACCAGTGAGAGGAGTTTACAAAAGGCCGGGACCAACCACCAACCAGCTAGCTCCTCCAGCGCTCTGGGGGCCCTCGCCAGGCAGACCTGCTAGAGCCGCGCGCCCTACGGGCGGGCTCCCGCGCTCTAGGGCCAGAGGCGGCTGTTGATCCGCACACCTGGCAGGGTCTTTCGGCACACTCTAAAGCTGAACTTTCAGTGACACACCCGCTGCGTTTCCCTTAAATGCAAAAACAACCCGCGGGCGAGCGAAGCAGCCCTCGGCTGCCGCTGGGAGAGAAAGTGGCGACTGCAGGAGAAACGCCTGACTCATACGCCTGGGCGTTTATGGCCGGCGAGTGGAGTCTGACCTTTCGGTGCGCTCCTGCGCAGCACCCGGCCCGGCCGAACGCTGGGTACGGTTCCTCTCGAAGACTGCCCGCCCTGCCGCCCGCGCCCTTCCCGCAGCCAGGGGCAGGGGCGCGATTTACCTACGGAGTCTATCTCCAAGAGTCGTTGGAGGTCCCGGATGCTGTGGATCTGACTTCGAGCCAGCCGCTCGATCAGCTCTCGGGGTATCTCGGCTTCCTGCAAGCAGACCACACGGTCAGGACGCGCCCAGGGGTTCCAGCCCGGTCTCCGGGACCACGCAGCCCCGCCCGACCCCCGCCAAGCACTAGAACCAGAAGCTCGGGTGGGGCTAGATGGGACCCCCCCTCCAAGTCCTCCACCCCATTCCTGTCTGTCTGACCTTGGTTAAAAAAAAAAAAAAAACACCAACACCGCCTTGACATGTTCAGACAAAAAGCACCCGCGCTCTGGCCCTCCCCAGGGTGTCTGGGGGCAGCCAGGGGCCCGAGGAGTTTCTGGTTTAATAGCTAAATCCACATGAAGAGAGGGTCGAAATGCGTCACGGATCCAAGCCTAGAGTCACAGCAGCTCCAACACTTTAATCTAGCCTGGGGGTTCAATTTCACTCCCAGGAATCCTGGGCCGAGCCCGCAGGGGAGAGGGTCTTCTCACACCCCCACACGCACGCGCGCGCGGTCGCCCCACCCGCTCTGGCCCAGGCACGGCCCTAGCGCCGACTAGGACGCCCAAATCCAGCGGGGCTCAGAGCGGCTGCAGGGAACTCAAGGGGTTAAATATCCACCTCGCGCCTCTCTGGTCTCTGCCCAGACCACCCCCACCGTTCAGCCTCCCCCACTCTCCCTCCCAGTTTTTTAAAGGGAGTCAGGGTCGCTGGGGGACTCAACCACGAAGTTCCCACGACAGGGGCTGTGGAAAGTCATTCATCACGGCAAAGCTCCCGGGATCTGGGGGGGTGGTAGCGGTGGGAGGGCGCGGGCGCCTGGCCCGGCCCCATCTGCCTCGCTCAGCCACCTGTAAGCAGGCCCTGGGCGGGCGGAGACTGCTCTAGCCCCGCGTCCGACTGGGCTTGGGGACCGGGAACTGGGGACTGCGGCTGGGCGCTGCCCACCCTGCCCAGTCCCGGGCTTCAGCCGCACCCTCCTCTACCTGCTTACTGCCCGCCCTAGTCCCCTCCCAGGGCACGGTCAGTTCACACACACCCCCTTTCCCGCTGCCCGCACCCCGTTACTGCATTGTCCGCTGCGTTCGGGCTGCCCCTTCTGGAAAGGCACCCACAGCCCCCCGAAGTTTCTGCCCACTGGTTCACCTCGCGGCTCCCCCGTCCCTCTCCAAGGCGGAGCGACGCAACGCGCTGGAAACTCACCAGACACACTTGGGCATGGCAGAAAATAGAACCCAGTTGGGAATTTTTTTTTAAAATTACACCACCCTGGCAAAAATCGAAATGCTCTTTGCAGAGCTTGAAACAGGTAGCCGAGGGGGGCGTGCGCAGAGGGAGCCAAGAAGGGACGGAGGCGCGGGGGTGGCACCCACCTCGGCCAGGGCATGGGCGAGGTATCCGCAGCCGAGAAGCAGCAGGCAAGCCCAGGTCCTCATCGCGTCCCGAGGCGCTGGAAGCTCGGCAGGGAGGCGAGGCCGCGGGGCGGGCGCTCCAGCCGGGCTCCTGTGGCGGCGAAATTCAGTACCATCCCTCAGGGAGCGCGGCCCGGAGGAGGGTGGCGCGGAGAGCAGGGAGCCTGCGGAGCGCGCCCGGCGCGAGCAGCGAGTGCAGAGCCAGCGAGGAGGAGGAGGAACAGAGTCGCGCCGGGAGCCTCCTGGGCCGCCGGGTAGGGGGTGGGGACGGAAGGGGCGGAGGGCGGGGGCTGGGCTTCTTCCTTGGTGCGTTCCCGGTGCTGGCCGCCGCCGCGCTCGCTCCCCGTCTCTGGCTTTAGGAGCGACCCGGCCGGTAAATCCGCATATTTGCTGCCGTCAGCCCCGGGAGGGGACCACGGAGCGTGATTGCAGCTCCCGCCGCACCACCGATCACCTGTCTGGACGCTCGGCCCGGTACCAGCGGCCGCCTCGTTTCTCCCTGAAGGCTACGGGCAGCCCCGAGAGCCTGTCCCCGGGCCTTCCTCTCGCCGCTGCCGCCCCGAGCCGGGCACGGCGCGGCGGCCCAGCACAGCGCGGCCCGGCGGCCTGCGTGCGCCCCTCCGCGGCGCGCCCTCGGCTACGACGCGGCGCTCCGCCCTCCGCCCGCCGGGGCCGGGCAGCTCCCGCGGCCGCGCCGCCTGGCAGCAACCAACCCGCCCGGGGCCTCGCTGCGCCGCTCGCACGGGCCGGAGGGCGGGCGGAGGGCCGAGCTGGCGCCGCCGCAGCAGCCGCGGGAAGACCAGAGGAGGAGGTGGAGAAGGAGAAGGCACAGGCAGGCCAGGCTCCCGGAGTTGAGCGGGCTCCGCAGGACGCGCGTGTGGAGCCGGCCGGCGACAGGGAGGGGGTTATAGCGCCGCCACCGCGCCCCTCCCCCGCCCCCGCCCCCCCCTCCTCCCCCGGATTCCGGCCCGGGACCCGCACCTCGGAAGCGCGCAGGGGTCTCGCGGGCCAGATCGGGCCCGACCGCCACTGCAGTGACCGCACACGCGCTCACGCAGACAGCTAAATCCACCCAAGCTCGGCGCCCGCGGCTCGGAGCCCACAGGCGCCGGGGCTCCCGGAGCGCCCCTCCCTCGAGCTTGCCCACCCTTCAGTGCCAGCTGCAATCCTGCGGCACCGGGCGGGGAGGGGAGGAGGCCGCTGCAGAAGCACGGCCGTCTCCGGCTCGCCTCTCTCTTGGGCCCCAGCGGCAGTAAAGGGCAGCGCCCAGAGCTGCTGCGCCAAAAAGGGCATGAGAGCCGGCCCGGCCCCCGCCCGGCGTTCGGGCCGCTTCCCACCGTGCCGATCCAGGGCTCCAGCCTTCCCCTCTCCATAAAAGGAGGGGGAGTGAGTCTCTGCGGAGAGGCGGGGCGGGTTTAGGGGCGCGTCTAGGGCACTCACCTGACGGCTGCCACGCGCCCGCGCCCCAGAGCCAAAGCCTGGGACACCTGATTGAGGAACTCGCACTCTTGTGTGGAGGTGGAAACGAAGCCCGGGTCGGGGAGGAGGCTGCCGCCTGCCTCATCGCCACCTTAACACCCTGCACCCTCCAGATCCCTAGCCCCTGGCCGAAGGCCCAGCCGCACCCTGAACCCGGGGAGCTGAGGGGGTAGAAGGAAAGACAGAAAAGAAGCCACGGGTGAGGAACTCCTGGGTTCTGCTTTGGGATCCAAGGGAGCGCAGAGCGCCACCTCCGGCCAAGTCACAGCACAGATCGGGTGGCGGGGAAGCGACACGCGGGCAGAAGTCTGAACAGGGTTGGACGATTCTCCCACTTCCAGAGACGGATTTCAGGTGGGAAGTGACCGGACGGCAAGGCCAATCCTGTCAGCGCTTCTCCATGCACGAGAGTTAGGGCATTTGTGAACCTTTGGAATCCCAAAGCTAGACAAGCCTAGGCCTCTGAAAACTATGAAGCTTTCCATGGGTAGGGATGCAGTAGAGGAAACCGCCCTTCCAGTTCACTCCTTATCCTGTGGATTAACCCGTGCACCTTACCCCAATAGGAGGACACCCCCCCATCTCCTTTGTCCCCAGACAAAGGCGCAGCCAGGCAGGAGCATTTTATCCCCAGCTCCCCAGGTTCCTGCATTTCAAAGGCCAAGTTGGAAGGGCTCTTCTAGGGCAGCTCACCTAGCCCCAAATACCTGGGTCTCCCCTGAGAATCGTTGGAACCTGCATCCACTGTTGTTACACAGGCTTCCATAGGCCTGCAGTTCCTACATCGCCACGCCCCTGCCCTAACACCTGAGGTGCTCAGGAGATAAATTGATACCCCCTCTTGGCCTAACAAGGGAGTCTGGAAAACGTTGGGAAGCGCCCCACCTCGAGGTCCTCGAAAGTCAAGGCCTTATCCGTGCTGGTGGAACTTTGTGCTGCTCTGAAGATGGAGATTCACTCCATGGCTTCTGGCGGCGACTACCAGGACCCAGCTGGACCTGGGTCGAGTTCCTCACCTTCTTAAGCCAAGAGTACTGCGCGTCCTGTCCTGCCAAGCCCTCGGGCTCCTCGCAGGCAGAAAGGACGAGAAGACAGTTTGCAGTTCGACGACCCGGTGTGACGGTGGATATGGGAATCCAGGAAGAAGATCGGGTTGCATTGCGGAGGGGATGCCGCGCCCGTCCGGCCACCACCTCCGCATGGAGGCCTGCGGGTTCCTGGGGACCCCGCCTAGCGGTGTTTTCTCTCCCCTTACTCTCTTGAGGCGCCCAGCTGGAAATCAGAGCAGGGAGGGAGGAATTCTGAAGGCACAAGGGAATACCTGGGGCCAGAGTGAGGCTAGGCCTGGATGCATCGCCGGGGACGCGGGAGCTGCAGGGAGCTGGGCGCAGGCACTGCTCTAATCGCCGACCGCTATTAAAAATAAAACCGCGACCCGTCGTCATAGCGACCGCAGCAACAGCGGCCGCGCGAGGGTGGTAAGAGCTTGTGTAGCCCGGCGCCAGGCGCCTGAGGGGACTGGGGCACGTGCCCTTAAGCTACCAGGGTACTCTGATGTGAGACAGCGATCCCTAACCCGTCACCTCCATGGGTCCTCGGAAGACTTCTAAGAGATGAACGCCTGATCTCTAGAAACTGGGACTGGCTAAATCATGTGGCCAAGGGCCTAAAGGAGAACCTACTACTCAGACCACCACCACCCTGCCTCGCTTCCCCTTGGGACCCGCTGCTCATTCTTCAGTCCTCATTTTGGCCTCTGGGGAAAGAGCTGTGTGAGGGGGTGAGGTTCAGGTGTCAGGCTTCCAGAGAACACCAAGAAACCGAGTCGAGCTGGTGGGATTGCATGCGCTCTAGGCCACCGCACCTGTCCCGCCTGCGCCTTGGTGATCCCTTCTGGTGGGAGAGATCACGTGTTTCCCTCTGGCTGGGATTCGAGTTTCACTTCCAGCCGCTATTAGGCGGTTCACTCGGTTCACTGCAAACATTTGATAATGAGGCTAAATATACTTTAGAGTCGGAGGAGGTGTGGGCGGCTGCTGCCCTAGCCTGTAGGTGCGTCGCTCCAGGCTCCACGGGGCATCCCCGCCCCAGCGGCTGAGAACAACCCCCAATCCTGGTGCCAGAGGAAGACCCGCACCCACCCCTCCAAATAATCCTGTTCCCACCAGAACAAAGATCTTAGAGGCCGTTGACACCTGATGTCAGCTGGAGGGTCCCTGGAAGAAGAAGGCATCAGCAGCCCGGAGCTCTGAAACATAGAGGACGAGGTGGGGAGGGGCACCAGAAGGTGCACCTGGCGGTGACCGGGGATGTCCGGTCGCCCCCGGAGCGGATGCTTCCGGCCTGTCTCAAGCGCCCCCGGCACTGCGTGACGTGTCCGCCTGCCCATAATTAAAGTGTCAAGTGTTTGAAATAGCCCAAGAGAGGGGCTGAGAAGCTGAGGTGACCAGTTAACATCTAACCCTTGATGGTGCCCTCTCCACCCAAGACCAGGAGCACACAGGGAGGGGTAGACACAGCTTTGAGAGGAGGTAAACCATCCGACAGCACTAAGAAATTGCGTAGCCCAGCATCTTAAACGTGAAGCACCTAGTCAGTGCCCTTCAACTGCTTGGAACTCAATTATCCGTGCTCAATTATTGCAGTCGTTGTTACTTATTAGCTGCAAGGACCGATACTGAGCCCTGATACTGATGCTGGTCTTTTGCCCTGTAAAATAGTTTCATACAGTCACCCCGAGGCAGAGGGGCTTAGACACCCCTTCCACTCCACAGAGAACAAGTGAGACTGAGTTCCAGGCATCAAGTGTCCCATTCCTTGGGAGATCCAAGAATACTGGAAAGTAGAATGGCCCAGGTTGCATTTGTACTAGGCAAGAATGTGAAGATTGAATGGATATCTGACCATCCCACCCCAACCCCTGAAAGAGAAATCACCCCAACCCCTGAAAGAGAAACGTCGAAGCCCCCTGTGCTCTGTAACGCTGACTTTGTTCTTGCTCTGTCCCTGGCTCACCTTGAATTTTGTTCCTTTATCTGGAAAGAAAACAACAACAACAAAACTGGAAGGCCATGCTTCACCCTGTAGGTGGTCTCCGCATCCAGCAGTCCCCGGAACCCATAGGACCCTCTCTATGTGGGTGGGGCCAGCTGGGCCCCAGGCATCCAGGCTCTGCCAGAGCCATCCCAGAACAATTTGTAATGTTGAAACACCAGTTTCCCTTTATCTCTGGGCAAGGCTTTCTTGGTTCTGGGCAATTAACCCAAATGGAGCCTCAGCCATGTGGGCTCTGGTCCTTGAAGATCAAAAGTGCCCAGCCACAAGCCTTAATTATGTCATTATCTTGCCCCCCTCCTTCCCCCAGGCTAAGGATCGGGCCTTTCCAGTTCAGGTTCTCCAAAAAACAAGATAACTCTGTGCTGGGGTGGGAGGGCACTCCAGGCTGCTTTCCACTCCCTAGTATATGTATTTTTATTTTCACTTTTAAATACACAGATAGAAATTATGTTTAAAATAGCTTCTAAGCCCACAATAGGCTTGTGAATAGTTTCTGAATGAAGGCCTATGTAAAGGAATGCATGGTGGCTTTTGAAAAGAAAAGCCTAGGGGCTAGGGAATGTAGTACAGTTGATAATGTGCTTGCCTAGCATGCACAAGGCCCTGGGTTCTACTCCCAGCACTAAGTAAAAACAACTCTGGTAAAGCATGCTTGTAATTCCAGCATTCTGGAGGCAGGAGATTGGGAGTTCAAGGTCATTCTTGAGACACAAAGTAAATCCAGGCCAGCCAGGAATACACTACACCCTATCTTAGGAAAAGGAAGGGAGAAATGGAAGGAAGGAAGGAAGGAAGGAAGGAAGGAAGGAAGGAAGGAAGGAAGAAAGGGGTAGGAGAGGAGAAAGCCAGCCAGGCATGGTTTATGATTTTAGGTGCATGAGTGTCTTTCATGTATGTCTGTGCACCATATTCATGCCTGGTGCCTGTAGAGGCCAGAAGAAGGCATCAGATCCCCTGAAAGTGGAGTTACAAATAATTGTGAGCTGCCATGTGGGTGCTGAGAATCAAACCCAGGTCCTCTAGAAGAGCAGCAAGTACTGGTAACTGCTGAGCCATCTCTCCATCCCCCAGAATAAAACTTTACACTTGTAACTTTTATAGTATGGATTACAGTGGTAACATTTTGCAATTATGATATTAAATAAATAATGTGGTTACTATTCATTTCACACATATACCCAATACCCCCCCCCATGCCTCCTGTTAAATGTGGTTCAAATACATTAAAAATGACCCGTGGAAATCAGTCTGGTAGAGGCACCAGCCCATCACCCCAGCACTCAGGAGGCTGAGGCAGTAAGACCAAAAGTTCTAGGCCAACCTGGGCTACACAGACCCTGTCTCAAAATAAAAAAATAAATATTTTTAAAAATAAGAAATAACAGAAAATGGTATCTAGAACCCTTTATGATGGTTTATGCCTGTAATTCCAGCACTTGAGGCAGAGGCAGGACAATTAGGAGTTCTAGGCCAGCCTGAGCTACATAGTAAGTTTTAGGCCAACCTGGTATACCATATGAAATGTCTCAACAACAACAACAACAACAAAAAATCCCCCAAATCAAGGAAGGGTACTTGTGTTCTTGTATTTCGTCTTTGGGCCAACAAGTAAGGATTCTGGCTTCTGAACTTGACCTGAGTAGGGGCTCAACTGTGACCCACACTGCCCTCCCAGCCCCTGCTGCTGTGTTACTCTGGGTAAACTGGCCTCTCGGAGACTCAGGTTTGTCTGTTTCTTCCAACAGGCAGCTCTGTAGGAAGCAATAAACTAAGCAGCAAGTGGCTGTCACTTCAGGTGGCTGGGAAGGGTACATTTATGAAAAGATCCAGACCAAGAATTCCAAGGCAAGATAACAACAGCAAATGCTAAGGCCCTGAGGCAGGAACCGGCTTGGCAGGTCCCAAGTTCTGCAAAGAGGAGAGGATGATGGGACCAGGCAGTGGGTGGGATGACCATGGTCCTTTGAGGCCAAAGGAAGGAAAGGAAGTTGAATTTGTTTAGGTTTCCCCAACTCACACACACACACACACACACACACACACACACACACACACGTTTATCATGTTGAGTCAAGGTATGACCTCACACTCACAATCTCCCTGCTCCTACCTATCTTCTGAGCACTGAGATGACACACAAAGGCTCAGCTGAGGTTTTTCTCTGGAGAGGATGAAGCCATTAAGGGGAATACAAAGTGTAATGCCATAGTGGGTACCAGTCATTGTCTCTAAAGATTTCTACACAGTGAACCTGGAACTGTCCTGGTGGGCGTAGGCCCCTTTGTGGCCCTAAATGTGTGTCCAGAGCCGGTGCTGCATTATCTTGGGCACTTGTCCCCTCAGGCAGACCAGTGAAGGCTTCCTCAAGGCACAACTACCTCTGCATC